CAACCCCTTAAAGGGCCCGCGTCCGCCCGGGAGCAGCTCATTAATGTCACTCAATCAACATCATTGATCGGACTTTGAGCCAGTTAGGTGCTTCTGGTGGTTTTTTAAGGCCTGGCTCAGGGGTTTAAAGCGTTTGCAACTGGCAAAGCCAGGTTGGAAGGGAGATGGGGTGCTTCTTCTCTGGGGAAAGCGAGGCTGCTGGCCTAAAGCCGTTCAGAAATGTCTTCCTGGGTGGCTCAAAGCACAAATCAATAAATAAAGAAATAGTGAACGAAAAGGTGGGAAGTTCCAGCCCTGAGTGAGCACTTCCAGAGCCCCGTACAATTGCACTCAGGCTGATCCTGGAATGCTTTCCACCTTCATCTCTGTAAAAACACAAAAGACAAGCAAAATGTATTTAAAAATCACCAAAAAAACCCACTTGGGGTTATGGGGTTATTTACCCTGGAGAAAAGGAGCTTCATGGTTTTTGGACCTTTATGGTTTTCTACAGCTCCCTGAAAGGAGGGTGTAGCCAGGTGGGATCAGTCTCTTCTCCCAAGTGACAAGAGATAGGACAAGAAGAAGTGGCTTCAAGTTGCATCAGGGAAGGTTTAGACTGGATATTAGGGGGAAAAAAAAGTCCTTATAGAAAGGGTTGTCAAGCACTGGAACAGGCAACCCATAAAAGTGGTGGAGTCACCATCACTGGAGGTGTTTAAAAGACATGTAAATGTGGCACTTGGGAATGTGGTTTAGTGGTGACTTTGCTACAGGTTTATGGAAGGGCTCAATGATCTGAAAGGTCTGCTCCAGCATAAATTATTCTAAATTACTCTAAACACAAAAACATATTTTAAGAACATCCCCTGGCCTTAATTATGTGCTTTCTGTGCAGGGCCAGGATTTGGACTCAATCTTCCTTGCGGGTCTCTTCCAACTCAACATATTCTGTGATTCTCTGATTTAATGAAGGTTTCACCTTCCATATCATCCCCTGGATTTTTATATCCTCACACAGGGACGATGCACACTCTGAACTGCTTCTCCTGCTGTGGATAAATTTGCCACAGCAGAAGGAATGCACTAATACCTTGTTTTAGAGCTTGCTGTTTTAGTAAAACTCCACACAGACCTACTTAGAAAGAAAAAATTAAAAGTTCTGCTGTTTTTGTTTTGCCTTGGTTTTGTTTTGTTTTTTTTTAATGTAACCTGGAATCTAGACAATGCTTTTATAAATTTTGCCATGAAGTCTCACCTGGCCTTCACACCGAGCTGTTCTGACACCAAGGGAAGTTGGCAGCGTGTTCGGTGAGGCTGCACGGGGAGCGGTTCAGAGACCGAGCTGGACAGCCAGGCAGTAGTGTATGGACACTGCCAGGAGAAAACTTGCACCCTCGAATAGAGAAACGTTATCAGTACAGCTGTAATCAAAGGATATTTCTCAATCTGTAAGAGATAAACCAACCACCTCAAAGTCCAACCACTTCTACTAGCTTCTCTTCAGAAGCCTGATAGCAGTTTGTTAATTGGCAAATATTAGTGAATATCAGGTGCCCCCAAGCCCACCGAGAAAGCACAAAAATGGAAAATACCTCAGAGATTTATTTATATGTCAATCTATTTCTCTTTTTATTTTCATACCTACATATATGTTGACTTAATCTGATAAACTTAGTTTGTCTTTAACTTGTTAGGATTCAAGATAAATGGATTGACTATAATAACTTGAAAATATTCTAGGTGAAAGAGTATCCTGGGATATGAAGGAAGAAATTTGTGAGTATAGTTCAGCTGCAAAACCTGTTTGGTGAATTCAAAGGAAGTCACCACACTTGAGTTTTGGTCCTTGGGTAGCAGTCAGGCAAGACCAGGGCTGGTGCACACCACACACCTGCCCACTGCCTTCACCTAAGCAGGGAAAGGGGAGTGCTCAGGCAAGCTCTGGAGGCTCTGAGAGGTTCGTACAGACTGGAGCAAACAGAGGAGATGTCAAAGAAGGTATGAAAAAAGATTTTCACAGAAGCACCTTCAGCAGAATGGCAGAAGTTCCAGTTCTGCCTGTGTGTGATTTGTGTAAGTGGCTGAACAAATGCTTGACATGGCTTTTCACTTCTTTTTTTTTCAGTGGATACAAATTTTGAGGTGTGAATCGACGCACACTCCTTCCTGAGATGAAAAAGGTGATTACCACATCCTCATCTTCTATAAAGTCCACAGAGTTTTAAAAGTCTGTGTGCCAGGCAGGAGGTGATCCAGGTCTCACTGAACTGAATTCAAGGCAAGCAGGATTGTGCTCTGAGTTAATGTTGGACTTGTTATCATTTGGGCTTAATAGAAACTGGGGAGTCTCACCTGTCATACTACAGAACTCTGTTTTGCTACACAGAACTAAAGAACTACACACAACCAACCTCAGAGATGAACAGTTTTTGTTGCTCACAACATTATAAAGCACTCAGGGCTTGGCAGGATGGGGTTAGACAAAGAAAATTTCCTACGGAGACCATGAGCAGGTTTATAATAATATATACTCTTTAGGGTTCTCCAAAATTGTAAGATTGTAAGATCCTTTGATTTGGATCTCACATCTTTCAGAAGTACAAGAATGCCCAGATGCTGAGCATCACTGATGCTTTAACAGCAGCTGCACACTAAGACATCCACATCCCACATAATAATTGAAGCATAAAAAATTATTGAACACTGTGGAAAATGCCGCATGACTAAAAAACCCAGCAATTTTTCTGTTAGTTCTGCCTTCACTTTTAATTTCTTAATTGCTTCTTCTGAATGCAAAATTGTTTTACCAGGCTACCACTGTAATAAATATTAAAACTCTCTCCAAAAAAAACCCCAAAACAACAACAATAAAACAGAATTAAAGATTATATCTGTAAGTTAGTATCACAGAATAGAAGAGTGGTAACAGAACATAATAGTTCCTGTACTGCTAAATGCCTGAGAATCCTTTTGTTAGTAGGAGTGTTGGTGCCAGGTAGTTATATCTGACAGGAAAGAAAAAAGGTCAGAGCATTTTTATCAAGAAAAGATAAATAAGCTCCAGTGTATGTATTTGTGTTGCATACAAGTGTGTATACACCAGTGACAAAAGGTTACTTTATTTTATATATGGATGGCCAGATGGATAAATAAAGCCACAGAAGCAAAGCTGCCCTTAGGTGCCAAGTACTGTTGGGATACTTAGGTTGCTTTTCAACTTAATGGTAGCCTAGGGGAGAGAGTCCAAAGGGAAAAAGAAGTGACCATCACCCTGAGCCATGTGAACTGAGCCGGGACAATAGAGCACCCTGACCACTGACAGCAGCCTTGTTTGTTCAGGGGGGGAGGACAGCAATAGCTCTTCCATTACATGGACGAAAATAGAAAAATAGAAAGTAAACATCCTATGGCTAAAGATTATTCTTTAAAAAAAATGGTTAAAGAGATGAAATTTCATATGGAAAACATCAATAATGGAAGAAAGGCAGCTTTGCAGGGCTCCCTTGTTACACTGTTGTGGTTCATAGCACCTTTCAGTTCAGATAAAACTAATGTCAGGTTTTGCCCTCCCCTGCCCAGATTTCCCCACATTCTCAAGTACCACAGTAGTAGATGAGGGAATACAGAGACTGTCACATTTATACCACAGAGTCCTCTAGGGCTTTCATTTAGATGGTACAAATCCTCTGATATGAATGTCACTCTTCAGAATATAAATGGTTGTAACAAAATATGAACGGTCTACATAAATTTCCAGAAGGGCAGACAAAACAAAAACCCAAGGTCAAATCACTCGCTGCTCATAAGGATCCCTGAAGTGTTTGTAGATATTGTCATGCCAAACAGTTGCAATGTTTTTTACTTGTATGGAGATGGGCACTCACAATCTCAGAATGCCTTCCCCCTCTCCACCAAAAAAGGTCGTTTTGATATTTAGGTGGCAGCTGGGAAAACTGAGATGCTTCTGGAGTTCAATCCTTTTACCCTGACAGGCCTGGTGAAATTCTGTCATCTTCTCATGCTATGCCCCAGTCACTTCACGTGACTAATTGCATCAGTCATCTCCTCTTCTGCCATTACAAAGTCCAAGATTATTTCTGAGTTTGCTCATGTTGTGATGCAGTTGCTCCCTACAAACAATCAGCACGGCCTTTTTGTGTGGGGAGCCTCACCTAAAACACACAGCACACTCTCAATTAATGAACACTTTAAGTCAAATAACACAGAGGGGTTCAGTGCCATGTCAGTTGGACTGTGATCAAGAATAATGGAGATTTTACCAAAAAAAGCTCTTTTTTTTTTTCACATTTTGCTTCCTTACCTCAAAAATACACTTCACCTACATGAGACAGGGAAGAAAAAGGAGGAAAAAAGAGAAAATGTCAGGTGTTAAGCCTCCATTAGAAGATTACAGACCAGAAAGCACAGAGGAAGGTGGAAAGAGGAACTGCAGCTATTTTAATCATGTTTTATCTCTACTGGAAAATAGAAAGATAAATTAGACTAGTAGACCTGCTACAGAATAGAACAGAACACAGTATTAGACTCTGAGATTTTTAAACTGCTTATAATAGTTTGTGAAATATAAAATTTCTTCAGCAATCACCACACAGAGGTCATTGCACTGACAGGTTCCTTGAGTAGTTGCAGTGGTGAACCTACTCTGGTAGCAAACTGGCAAGGGAAGAGGCCTGCTAAGCAACTGGATAATACAGCATTACCAAGTTTAGGAGGTCATGGAACAGTCTGTGCTTCTGAACTTATGGCACTCAGTGGAGGAAAAGCCCCAGATGCACAAGTTTGTGTTTAGTGTAGTGGAAAAGCTGTGATCACCTCAGCTGGTGCTGGGCCATCACCCTTGCTCATATGAGAGGCACCTTTCTCCAGCAAAACTCCTAAATGCCACTGTATTTATTCACTCTGAGTAGCAGTCAGTGCCTTTAAGTAAGGACTTCACCAAGTCAGAGGAGGCTGCAAATCCAGTGATGTAGGGTGGTAGAGTTTCACTTGACCTCTCATTAGCCCGAGTCGAGCCAGTTTATTAAACAAAGTAAACCACCAGGACCACAGGACGAAATAAAATACATATCTGAACTGGAACTTTCTCAGAAACTTTTTATTTTCTTTCTCTTCTCTTCCCCACAGAATTTTTCAAATCAGCAGCATAATAATATTCCAGTTAATGGACAGAACCAATGTTTCAGAGAGTAGGGAAGACAATGTCCCAGAGTGCTAGACTACCTCATAACTCTCTGGAAGAGAACCTTGCTTTTTGTTTTGGTTTGATCTGGGTGTTTTTGACCAAACACAGTTGTGCTGCCCTGATGGAAACAAATATTCATTGATTTAATTGAAATTTCTGCCCACCTCAGGAGCATGAGACTGGCATTTTACTTTGATCACATCCTTTGTCGTGACGTAATCATTGCAGAGTTTTTTGTTTATTGGTGAATGGTTTAGTTTGGTTTTTTTTTTATTTTTCCCCAAAGTGCTTAATTAATTTGTTATTAGAAGCCCTCAGAAGAGCATTTGGCTGTAAGGGATTTTTGGTCTGTGTCTAGATATTACCAACGGACATTGTCAAGAGACCATTTCACTTTGCCTCAGCTGTTTCCTTTGCTACAGCTGTTCTTAGTTTCCTCTTCGCATCACAGAGAAGTTACAATCTTCTGTTGGGGAAATAGGTAACTTAAAGCAGCTCAGGGAAGGGCTCTGCAGAGTATCAGTCTCAGGGGACAATTTCAAAACTCAGTGAGTAAACATGGACTTCACAAAATAACAGTGTTAGACACTTCTGGACAAGACATGAGCAAGGACAGCATCTCAGGCTTCATCCCATGGGATGTGTTCCTTGAGCTCCAGTGGCACAACCATGAGCTGAGGGTGCTCAGCACTTCACAGGACTGCAGTGTCACTGCTACCTCTATTCTGCTGTTACACCACTAGTTCAGTTTGAAAGGACCTGACTGTTTGGTCCCATCTGAAAACTAGAATTCAATTTACTCAATCAAAACCTCAACTGGTTCTGCAGCATTCAGTTGAACTTCTATAAACCAAATTTATCTTTGTGTGTGATCTAAGTGATATTGAGTACAAGGCTACTGAATAATGAGAGAAAAAATAGACTATGATTTAGTTATTAGCTCACCAGATACATCTAACTCTTCAAAATTACACTGTTTTGATGCAATCATATGTTTATCCCTTTATACTACTGCCTTCTTGCAATTCCATCAATATTCTCCAAAGAGCAGCAGACATTAAAATCATTTTAGTGTGTCAAATTGCTGAATGTAAAGAACTTTGAAGAAACCTTTTCTTTATCAGTATATACGTTTTCTTGTAGGTTCTCCCATGACCTCATATGAAGTGGTTAGGTAGCACTCTTTTTCTGTAGAATAAGAAATTTGCAGTCACTCATCACTCTCATGGTAGGCACATTTGGGTTATGAAGCAGAATCTTTGAGAACAATCATTTTCAGATGCCTGGGTAGCTCGAGGGACAGAAATAGAGTCCTTACTGGTCCCACAAGCACAAGTCCCTCTAGCTGCAAGGAAGTTTGTTAGCAGAGGAAATGGGAAGCCAGGACTTTCCCGTGCTGTAATCTGTGAGAGACAGACTGAGTGCAGATGAACGCTCCATGAAACAAAGCATTTAGGCAGGCACTTAAACACTTCCTCTGCTGAGCAACTGTAACACTGCACACCAGACGTCTTTCTCTTCCTTTTTCCTGAGCAGGAATATGGCACCTAGGGCTAAATCTAGTACCAGATACAGCTGTTTAATATTCAGTTAGCAAGAAAAGAGAGTAAAGCTGGTATTGCACATTGTAATTGCTTAGACTTATTCTGAGTTTTCCCAATTGATTAAAAGATAATATTTTTTATGTTCAGCTGATAAACCCCATGCATGAGCTGGAAAACATTTGGTGCCTGTTTATACCAATCTGGATCCAGTCCCATCTGAGACACCTGGGTTCCTGGAGTCACAGCTTAGGTGCCTATTATGTTAATGATCAGACTAGACAGCTTTTCCCCATGACCACACCGCCTCTGCAGGATTGCATCACAAACCAGAGGGACTTTTTAAATACATGCTCATATTCTCCTGATTGTAAATTATTCCTGTCTCAGGCAGTGAATGAGCTAAAAAAGAGAAAGGAGCAAAATAGTCTTCTCTTGTGAGGTGCTAGGCTGCAACTCTGAAGGTTAGACCATATTTCTGACCTCAGACTTCTCATATGACATTAAGCAAGAAGGCTACAAAGCCTGGTACAGGTACCTCCCATTCTGACAACTTCTAAATGACAAAACTGTAAACTTCAGTAATTTCATATGCAAAAAGCTGAGTTGCAAATATTTGTACAATGTTTTGAAAAACCACTGGTGCAATTGCTGCTCCAAGCACCTTGCAGACTAAGTCATAGATGGGAGGAAAACACAGATGCTGAGATCTGCTGTATACATTGGCTTTCTAGCACCCAGCTAGTCTTAAATCAACAAACCTGGGAACAAAAGTGGGAGCAGCACAGTGTCTCTACTATGTGTTACACAGTGAGGCTGATCACTCGGAGTTGGTTTCTAGCTTGCCTGTGAGCCCTTGGCCTCTGACAGGTAGCCATTCTTCCTGTTCCAGGACACACACCCTACACTCCCCTAGAAATTTGGTTCATGGTGCTGTACACTCAACAGCATGTGTACTGCCCAGTCAATCTGCTTGGGTCATCTCCTGTGTGGCTGGAAAGATGTAAGAGAGAGGCTGGGGGAACTGCAGTGGAAGCACTGGGAACGTAGCAGAGAACAGGGGAGCTGGAAACAGGGAGGAGCCCAGAAGTTTCACACTGAGAAAGATCCAGTGGGAAATGCAAGGCACACAGAATGCAAATCAGGAGAAAATTACAATTCATTAGTTACACTGTTCACAGGACTCTGTTTTTCAATCTCTTCTAAGAAAAGATGAATAGTACCTGTTCCTTCATGCTCCCATTATGTTGCCATTATTATTTTAATCTTAATTGTTTATCAGTTGAATTTTACTTTAAAAGGCTGATAGGGGCAGATTTTGAGAATACATTTCTGTGGTTTGCTCAAAAATTACCAGCCTAAGCAGGAATGTGAGATGTCCTGGGGAACCATGTGAGAGCAAGGAGAGGCATAAGGGCAGTGAGCCAGTCATAAGTGTGCATGCATCTAAATGGTTTTAATGGGGTCACTTCTGTCCTAAGGCACAACATGCTGCTGCTCGGATGACAAACTCTGCCCCTGAGCTTGTGAAAGGCTTTGCAGCTGAGTGTGACAAGCTTGGGTTTAGTTCAGAGGGGGCTACACTCAGGACTTCATTGTGGCCAGATGGCAAAGAGGGCTATGTGTGCCCCTTGGAAGACTGAATAGCTACCAAGGAACAAGGCAGAGAGTAGGAGACCACGGTTCAGAAAAAGACCTCATGTCTTGGAGGACTATGGGGATTTGGACAAAGGTTTCAGAAGAAGTGGATTGTTTAGGAAAGGCTGCAAAGGGACAACATTGACAACATTACATCTCCTGTCAGTGAGAAGGAATGTTTGCAGCTTTATTCTGCAATAAACATTTAAATTATTCAGTGCGGAATGTTTTAAAACCTTCCTCATCCTCACTAGTCAGCTAATCACCCAGTGATTCTGTTTTCTCTTTTGTGTCATGTTCTTCTGTTACTGCAGAGAAATAGAAAATATACTTTTAAATTAAGAAACTGTAATTGGGTAGACAATAAACAACATGAGGTGGTCCAAACACGTAGCTGTTTAGAACTCTCCTCATTTAGAGCCTTTCTTACAAAAGCATTTGTCAAATACTGTTCCCTCTACACTATTGTCCATCCCTGCCACGAGAATATCTCAGGCAGCTGTAGGAGAATTTTGTTAGAATTAATCACTGATCACCTTCATGTAAAGTCTTTATTATTCCAAAAGAGAGTAAGGGACACACACATACATATAAGCACACAGAGCTTTAGGGTAAAAGAAGTAAAAATAATGGTAATATAATCTTCTCCCTCAGGAAGAAAAAAATACAGGCATTTACTAATCAAAAAGGGTGGTTTTTTTTATTTTTGTGTTTGTTTGCTTTTGCTAATCTTTAAAAATGCTTAATACATTGCTTGTGAGCTTCATGTTATACTTTACTGCAGAGTTAACCCTTGAAATTCATTAATTGACTTTATGTTGCATTAAATGCTGCAATCAATTCAGTCTCAATATTCTACACTTTTATCTCTGCGATAAAAAAAAATCTATTAGCTTTACTTGGCTCAAAACCAATACAGTGAACTACCCTTAATTATTAATAATCTGTTTCCCTTTAATAAAACTTTTTGGACCTTTACTACAGTAGGATGAAGTATTTATTTGGTGTGTAGGGTTCAGAGCAATACAGTGCACTTTCTCTGGGAAAGAATCCAAAAATAACTATCTACTTGATATCAACCCAAGGGATTTCCTAAGGGAATTGGAGTATCATTTCAGGGCCGATCATCAGTGGTTTAGGGGAATTAGAGAAATTTGTGTCTGGGGAACAGATGCCTCAGGGTTTGTAAATGTGTGAGAGAACCTTTCCCCCCTCGGTCACCAGTTCAGGTCCATCCAGCACAGCAGTGACTGGAAGCTATTAAACATCTAATGAACTTCTGGGGCCTCCTGAAGCAGGGAGTGGGATTCCTAACAGACACTTGCTAACATCTTGGAGCTGCTCCTACCCAAGCTGAAGCCTCAACAGCAATACATGGACACAGAGACTGGTAATAAGCATGGTGGAGTGAAGAACATTTCATTTGCTAAATGCAGTAAGCAGGCTGCTTCTGGGCTGGCAATCCAGGTTTAGATTTACTGCTGGCACTTTCTTGTTCTTTAAAAGAAAGAAAATGACATATTATAAAGCACTGTGTTATGTAACCTTTCCTCACAAATGCAATCAGAAGGGCTCAGAAGCCTTACAAATCCACATTTGCAATGTCTCAGGCCTTGGAGAAGATAAAGGAGTAAAGAAGGATTTTTTTATTATTTTTTTATGCTTAGAGGCGAGTTCTGGGAGTCCTGGGACACTTGAACTGCTACATGCTGCACATCCAGCTTTTGGGCAGGTCTGCTAGGAGAAAGAAGAGACAAATGCTGAGCATTACAACCACAAACCACAGCTGTTGATGGGAATTGGCAGGAGACCAGGGAATGCTGGGAAGCATAGATGGCCTGCAGCAGAAGGTAGGGCTGAGCAGGGCTCTCTGGCACTTGAAGCTTTTTTATTCATGTCCTGGTGCTTTTCCATCCTGGCATCTGGTTTCCGTGACAGCACAAGGGAGGGACGCTATGGTGCAATTTTATGGTATGTTCTCCTGGGCTATGTTGGCACTTCCTCGGGTAAACATACCTAGCCTCAGGCTCAGCTTCACTGGGTCCCTGGGTTCAGATTATTTGCAGTGCTTTAGTTTGCCGACAGCTCAGTCCAGTTGTCTCCGCATTTCATTTGAGGAGGAGGGGGTTGAGACTTGCCAAGTGTCCTCTGCTCCCTCAGGACAGAGCCATGCTGAGGGCAGGGACAAGCTCTGGCAAAGCCCTGTCCATCAGTAGAGCTGCAACCAGGAGAGCATATGATGGGGCTCATAGCCCTGTGCTCCAGTGCAGGAGCTGATGAAGCTGGAGTCAGACTTTGTGCCACAAGACCTTGGATGTACCCTGGTGCTCTCATTTTGAGTGGAAGCTTTTTGGGGTTCTTTTTATCCAGTCAGAATGTCTAAACTGTGCTCAAATTCAGGCATGGGCTTCTGAATAGTGAAGTAATATAAGTTGCAAAGAGCATGCAAGTTCTAATGTCTGAAAAAGGATGAGTAAAAAAAAAAAAGGAAAGTTTCTGTAATGGGATCTGCTGCTCGCCCATTTTTGTTACCGGCATCTGCAAATCTTGCTATTCTGGTCCATTATATGCAACAATCTTATACTCAGTGGCAGGTGAAATGTCATACCTCGGGGTAAATTTTCACTGCAGTAGGCAGGGAATTTGTCCTTTAGACATCCTTAGTATTAATGGGACATTGATCCAGCAATTTAAACTCCAAGAGATACAAATGTCTCATGTGGGACCACTTTCAAATGTGTTGACATTTTGATTCACAAAATAAGATACTTTTAGAAACAAATGCAAATTCATTTAATTCTAGATTTGAGGTCAGCTGGATACTGGTAGAGAAATGTGTAATGAATGTTTAGTATGTTCATCAACTATCTTTTAATCTCTCTACACTCAAGGGATAAAAATGACATCAGAGAGAGGAAGGACAATTTCTAACATTCTCTGTATTAACTAGTGTATCTTCTCATGGGGCTGGAACCTAAATTCACCTACTGCACTTGCAATATTAGTGTCTAGGGCAAAATGAGGCTCTGGGACAAGGGAACGAATTTCAGTGACCTCTGAAAATATGTCTTTCACACATGGGATATGCTTTCATCTCCAAAGAGTTCTGATCCTGCTGAGATCCACTGCAGAAATTGTCAGTGTTTTACTGATGTCAGTGAAATTCACAGTAGTACTGGAGCCCAACAAAATAGTGGAGGAAAGAAAACAAAACAAAGTAAAAACATATCAAGAGGGGGTAGCTTAATTTGTTCCCAGGCCAATGCTCTGCCTGCTCTTCCAGCTCAGAAACTATTCAGCGCACTATGAGAAAGATGATCTAAAGAAATATTTAGAACACACCGCAACTGTCTGACATACAGTGAGTAGGTCAAACCTTAAGGGAACACGGCAAAGCCTGAATGCTGGTCTGGGCTCCATACTGCAGAAGAGGGTAAAGCAGATATGGAGCAACTTTGGAGAAAGACCAGCTTGGCAAGTTGGTGGGTCTGAGCTGGGTGTGAACTACCACCACCCACCTTTGGACCAAGGCTTGGGGGGCTCTGCCATGGCTGCAGGCAGGGCACTGGGGGCAGAAACATGGCTCACCTCCCTCCTGTGTCCCTGCACACCTGAGCAGGTGGTGCAGCTCCCAGCAGAGGGGAGTGAAAGGGGATCTGCTCCTTGTGCTGAACCCCAGCAAGCAGGGCCAGCAGGGGATTGCTCTGGTTTCCCCCTGAAGCAAGGACATCTCCAACTGTCCCCCCAAAGCTGCTCCAACAGCAGGGCTGACGAGAGGCTGCAGCATGCTGGGCACATGGGTACTAATGTGGATGGGGTGTGTGCTATTATTCCACAGGGGATTTCACAGGAAGCCCACAGCTCCTCTCGAGTAGACTCGAGCATCCCCTGTTGCAGAAACCCCAGCTGGTGAATGTCACCTGATGGGGACATGGGGACTCGGATCATCTCATGCATGAGGAACCAGAGGAGGAGAACAAATGCAGGGGAAGTTTCTCACCAAAGTCCCCGTGCAGAGTAGACTCTGCTCTTCCCCTTCCCCAGCAGGGCTGGTGCAGACAGGGTTGCAGTTCTGGGAGCCGCTGTCCAGGGGAAGTTACACCAATTTGGGCACTGACTGAGAACACAACTTCCCTCACAGACACTTGTACAGCAGTGCCAAACAGAGCTAAGAGGAAGAGGAAAAGCCCATACACTGTGCAACATGTAAATAACTGTATTCAGCTCTATGAAAACTACCCAGGAACAGCTCCAAAGCCATGCAGGACCGGGCAATGTGCTGATAGGGAATGATCTGTGTGGTGGCCTTGGATCAGAGAGTCCTCTCCAAGGGCCCTGGATAAGTGCTCCAGCCTGCCAGTGGGCTCAGTGGGCACTCAAGCTTATCCGGATCAGGCCTTTTCTACGTGCTCACTTAAACATAGTATCGTCCTTCTGGGCCTCTGCTCCTCTTTCTTGCTTCCTCAAACTGATTGGCATCTGTAGGAGTCTGCAGGGGGAAGAATTTACTGTTCCTGTGCCAGCTATGTGATCTCCTGGGAGACCTGTGCAAAACCATGTGGGGTGGCACAGACACCATACAGGTGGCCTTTTCCCACAAAACAAGAGTTCAGAGTACATCCACCAAGTGCTTCTCACATCAGGTAGTTTATTTTTTAAGAAAAAGATGACAGACCAAACAGAACTTTAACAAATTTTAAAAGAGCAGGTTTTTTTGTATGAACAGCAGCTACAGGTCCTGGGTGCATTCATACCCCAATGCATAAATGTATTTTAGAGGTGTTGTGATTCATTGTTATGTCCAGGCATACAGGGGCGTAGCAGCACACCTAAAACAGGTGCAAGTGAGCTAAAGCAGGTTTTGCTCATAAATGCAATTATGGTAATGCCAGTAACCAGGATGTATCAGCTGTGGATTCTCATCACAAGAAGTCCTGGTATAAGATTTGCAACTTGGAGGCACTCCTAAAACCATCTCCTTTCAAGGCAGTAATCCTGGGAAAGAAACGTGGTCCTAGTCCTTAAATAGAGATGGGAGTGGCTTCTTCATTCACATTTGATGGATTGCTGTAGGCCATTGCCAGTGATATCTGTGATACTCAGAGTGCACTGAATAGAGAACACTAACATGTACAGTAAGTATTTCTTAATGCTTCAAGGTAAGCAGGATGTTTGACAGACCCATTAAAGCACAGAAGATGGTGTTTGGACATGAGCAATTCCTTCAGTGAGAGTCAGGATTCACAGGCAGGAGCACCTGCTCTCCTCAGTTCTAGGAATGCCAGAAGAGTGGGAATTGGACTCCTATTTTTCACATATAAGTTTTGTTGACTGATTCAGACCAACCACCATGGAAGCCCAAATCATCCCTAGACCTTGCAGACCACAGACATACTCCCCATCACACACTCTGTCCCTGTGTCTCTGGCAGATGGTGGAACATAAATCATCCATCATGTAACTGCCCTGATGCCAGCAGCTGTTCACTGCCAGGAGCATGCTGCTGCATGAGGCCTGCAGAGACAGCCTCCAGTTGTCCCTCCATGGGATAGTTCAGAGGAGGCACAACCCAAGGAAACAAGCCAAGTCCAGGTCTTGTGTGGCTTTTCCATTTGGGGATGGTCCCTGCCCCTTGCCTGAAGCACCCTGGACACCTCACAAGCCTCCACTATAACCCCTGCCAGAGGCTTCTGGGCAGCAACGTGCCTGGCACAGTCCAGCCCTCCCTGGTTTTGCACCCTGCATGCTCTTGTTGGGAGAGTGGTCAAGGAGTGTGAATCCAGCCCTGCCACCCAGGGTGAAGCTCTGCAGCCACCCCTGCCCACTGACAGCCTGACCAGAGCCCTCTCTGGTGCTGTTACGGGAGGGAGGTCACCAGTTTAACCACACTGGAGCAACGCCAGCCTTTTGAGTAAACTTTTCAAAGCTGCACTAAGGCATTGTTTAGCTTTGATTTCCAAATGACCTCTGATTCCTCTGGATATGCTAAGGGTGGAAGAACATTCACTCCCAGGAGTTTGACTTTGGCAGTGGGCACAGAGCCTAGCACGGCAGTTCCCAGGGAAGAGGGGAGAGAGATGAAGGCTCTTGCTGTTCTCCCTCCTTCAAACACATCACCCCACCAATCTACTGCACACTTTAACTTGCACAAATAAACCTGTTTGCATGGGTCATGCTGCGAATGAAAACAACGCCAGGATGTGAGATGAAAAATAGTCTGCGAAGAACCAAACCACTCGAGAGTTATTCTAGTGAGGTGAATAATTCAGCAACCAGTTTTTACTGCAGCCCTGTTAACAGAAACACAATTACAGAAAAGGAAAGTAAACCACAGCTGGGAAGAGGAAACAAGTGTCTTGGGGGCTCCTATCTCACCGAGGAAATGGTGGGTGGATCCGGGCCCCAGCATGGGACTCAGGCCTCATCCAGGGCTCTGACAACAAGTGACCTTAGCATGATGCATCCAGAGCTGCACTCACAGCAGTTGAGCAAAGAAATGAAAGGAGTGTGGTAAAAATTCTCTGGCTGTTGCTAACACTTCACAGTGCTGAAAGTAGCACTCGGTATTGGCACAAGGTCAGTGGTATCTGCACAGCTTTCTGCTAACTGGTGACTGAGCCCTGCGGGAAGTGAAGCTGCAAGGACAGGACTTGGACAAGGCGAAGGAAGTGTGAGCTGCAAACCTCTGCTTGCCTTGCTCAGCATCAGATGAATGTTAATTCTCTGCTGGTTTGCACAGCCACAGACAGGCCTGTTCCTACTAATTTTAGCCCTTACCTAATTTAAAACTATAGACATGTTATTTTCATCGTGGTATTTTTTCCTCTTTTTAACAGGTTGTAAGCTGCCAGATGCACTCTGTGTGGTTAAGAAACTGGTGCTGTCCAAGGGGAGGTGAGAAACGTTTTGTTAAAAATAAAAGGGAGACAGAACAAAATTGCACATTAAAACTTGGAGCTACCTCAGCTGCCTGTGCTTTGCTGAGGGCCTCTGGCCTGGCTGCAGTGTGGTCTGGAGATGCACCTTCCTCAAACCTCAGAGGACCCAGCCCAGCGTGCCTGGCTGTCTCCCAGCACATGCAGAGGTTGTGCTGTGCCCCATCATGAGCATAACATAAAACCAGCTGCACTCTCTATCTTCACTCCCTCCACTCATTCACCTGTCCCACTTAAATGTCTTTGGTCCTGCTGCCCAAAAATACACCTGCACCCAGACCTCCTCTCCCTGCCACATCCCCTTGCCCATATTCCCTGATATGGGCAAGCACCTTCTCCTCCCTCTTCTCCTCCCCTCACACCTGGATCTGTTGCCCATCTCCCGCAGAGGTGAACCCTAGATGAAGTGCTGAGCCTGCCCGCAGTGGGAGGCAACCCTGTGCTAGAAATGGGTGTGAAAATGTGGTGAAATGAGGAAACATTTGTGAGAGGAAGTGAGTGGGTGGAGGGAAAAGCCTGGAGTGAACAAAAATCAACAAATAACACATTGAAACTTGAGCTCTGAGTGCTCAGGGTGGGTAAAAGTACACCAAAATACAAAAAAAAAAAAGAACACACAAATTACTACCAGAATGCAAATATTCTATGTTAACATACACCTAATGTATACTATGGAACAAAGTACTGAAAATAAAGAGGAGGCTCAAAATAAAGAAGATGTCTTAAGATCTAATGCCTTAACAGGAGCACAAGTAGCTCCAGTGAGGGTGAAAAGGGGAGGCAGCAGACCATGCACATGCATCTTACTGGATCTAGGTTACTGGATCTCAAAGTCCAAACGGATTGATGGTCTCACTAACCAGACATGGATGTCAACAGTTGTTAACAGTCTGCATGCCTCTGTAAATTTTAATTTAGTACTATCAAGTAAAGCATTTGAAGGATAATATTAAAAAAAAAAAAAAAAAGGAAGTTATTTCTAATACAAACAAAATGGAAGCCCAGCTCTGTTGTTTCTGATACAGAAGTAATTCCTTAGTTAAGATTTTTCCCTGACAGACATAGCAGTGCAGGGACCTAGGAGTACACTTCCCAGTTTTTCAGCCTATTGCATGTGCATTCCTGACCTGTAAACCTTTCCTTCCTTTCTCTAGCCTTGCAGAGCAGGATTGACAGTGCTATGTTTTCAGCAACACACCAAAAAAGTCCTTGTTTTTTTCTCCTTAAAGGACAACAAAATTGGCCCAAAGGGGCTGTACCAGAAGCCAGCCAGTTTTGCCCTCTGAGAATCAGCCCACACAACCACAGCTCCCACTGGTGAGAAGTTATTCAGACAAGTCCCTCCTTTAACCACTCACACAGTGAGTTGGTTTCATCCAAGTTGCTGCCATGGTCATGGGGAATGAACAACAGACAGGTAAACAGCTATTATGGCATGCACAGAAAATTGTCCAGTTTTGGTTGCAACTCATTCCTTCCCACACATTTCAAACCAACCTGTTCCACAGGGATCCTCAGAAGAGGTTCCCTTCCACACATAGTAAGACTGCTCATACCTCTTCCATTTTAAAAGAATAACAAAAGCAACCTGGGAGTTGTCTGTATATTATTCCCAAATTTGTCAGTGGAGAAGCCCAAATGTACTCACTTGGCATGACACTGCTCCCTCTGGGGCTACAGCGAGCGAGCACTCTTGGAAAGCCGGCAGTGCATCCGTGCCACGGGTTACAATGATTGCTACTGACAGGTTCTTCATGGTATCACAACAAATTAGGTCACAGATTAGATTTTCATAGCACAGATTACAACTTGTGTCTACATCTTTTTTCTTAAATAGAGAGGGTTGTGGCCAGGAGGTTTGACCTCAAGATTGGGAACAAGGCAGATGCTTGGGACTGGGGGGGGTCCTATTTCTGGTTATGACAAAGACTATCTTAGCAAGACTCAGATAAAATTCCTAGTTTTCTGCTGTAGTCAGAAGACTTGGTATTTTTCCCTTTCTATCCAGCAAGCCTTTGAGAAATGAGTTCATCCACTGGAAACCCTGTGGTAAATCTTACAGCACTCTTGCAAAACAGCAAACCCAGCTTTGAAAGAAATTTTAGAAAAAATGAATTTTTATGATAGAAATGCAGCTTGCAGCACCTGAAAAACTGCTGCGAATGGAAACCAAAGCTACCTATTAGACTTATCCCAGCTATTACCACAAGGTCACAGATACACTCAGTTTGAGCATCTCTAGTGCAGAAATACTTCAAGGGATTAAATTCATGTGTGTAGTATTTGTTTTAAAATATACCTAGCAAAGACAGTAATAGAACTCGAGCACCAAAAAAAAAAATAAAAAAATCCAAGCTATATCAAGCTCCACACAGAGCAGCACAGAACAAAGGTTTCCAACAGCTGAGTAACTGCAGACACTGTGCAAAGTGCTTCCTACCCACTGCGAGATACAGCCCTGCTGCAGATTTGAAAACCAGCTCCAGCAACTGTGTTCCAGCAGACTGTCAGGGCTGTGTTCTGCTCCCAGCCACCTCCTCTCTCCGAGCTGAGCTGCTGCAGGGGAGAGAAGGCTCCTGGGAGCCACTGAGCTGGATTCAGCTCCCAGTGGAACCGTGCAGGTCTGCATGGGGGCAGTGATTCAGCTGATAAGCAGTCTCGCAGTCATGGTAAGCACTAAAGGAAAACCTAAACCAGATGATCAGAAGGACAGGTCTTGGACTGAATTAACCTCAGAGACAAGTCTTTCTATGTCAGGGTTGAGAGAGCAATGCAGGAATGACCTTCAGCTTATAGAAAAAGTCCTGATCCCACAATGGAATCACCTTTGTGCTTGAGTAGCCCAGAGACCTACACTGGCTCTCTATGGAGCCTCTGGAGCATGTACTTACTCTGCCAGAGCAGGGCTGCTTATACCTGCTGGCAGACCAACCTCTAGTCCCTAATCAAGCCCCTGAGGCTGTCTGCAGCCAGAGGACACAGCCTGTCTGCCTGTTCCCAGGGCAGCAAGAGGAGCACATGATGCTGTGCCTGTGCCCTATCTGCAGGTTTAGACAGGCTGGTGCTCAGCACCCTCCCCTCAGCCTCACACCAGCCCAGCTGCCAACACTGCTGGCCTGAATCATTGCCTGTGCCTCCAGCTCCGAAGCAATCTCACACGTCACTTCAGCAGTTTTTCACAGGAAATATGCTTTTACTTTCAAAATACTCTGGGCCTTGTTTTCCTTCAACAAGCACAGGAAGTATCTCAAATACCAGTCTTTATTTTTGTGAGCCACTATGTATCCTCTGATACCTTTGAGTACAAAGAAATAAATAGTAGTTGAGAGTGGCTGTGCTCTTCCATGCTCAGAGGAAGCATTAACATTTTTTTAACTCCCCTCAGTGCCTCAGCCTCTACCAGTGCTCCTGCTAGGCACACTCACATTTAGGGACACAGAATGAGGCCTAATAATCTTTTCCTCAAGCCTCAGCTGTGCTGTGCCGATTATTGAGAATCCATCGCACACACTCCTTGCTGAGCTGTCTGAACTATTGATCTCAGTTAGAGAAAAGGATGCTCTGGACTTTATTGGTATTGTCTTTAAAAGTCCTGTCGGTAGAACTGTTCTACTGGATGCTGAGCACTTCCTAGTCTCTCTGCAGAGCACTGCCTCAGACCTGCTCAAAAGCTCCTTCATGCCAGGGGCTCCTGCTGAGCCATGGAGGAAACCACATCACCAACCCTGGGGAAGTGAGCAGTGACAACTGTCAGAGAATGCAGTAATGAGGCCTCTGGCCTGAGCAGTGTTTCCAGAGAGCAAGAAAGCAGCAGGTAGGGGTTGTTGTCTGCAACAGCAGCTGGAGAGCATCCTGCTGCCTGGACTGATACAGGCTCCTGATCCCTGCTCAGCAGGGAACACAGGAGGAGCCAAATGCTGCCTCTCTCTAAGGCAAGATGACCCTGAGCAGTGCCAAGCACTGAAATGACCCCGGGTGTTTGTGTGCACCTGAGAGGGTCCTTCGGAGCACATGTAGGTACCATGAACAATCCCCAACTCCCTACAGCATCAGTTCTGGTATCCTCAACATTAAACAGGCAGCAGCCACTGCAAACCTCATCTTCAGCCAAGCCCTGAAACAGAGGACATTAAACTTCCACCAAAATCTCACATCTCTTCAAAGCACTTCTCAGTTTGGAGTGCAGATGCAGGGTTTTCTTTGTTTATATGAAATAAAAGGGCCTTCTTACTGTTTCAATCACATACCTAACAAAACACTAAATAAGCATCATCCTCATGGCTTTTTGGGTCTTAAAGAATGTATACACTTTTTACATATATTAAAAAATGGTTATTAGGGATAAGAGTTCATTTTTAAATGGCAAAAGGGTAACTCTGCTCCAAACCATTGAGCCAGGTAATCTTCACTGTTTAGGGGCTCCTCTGTGCTACTCTTTTTCAGCAGTAACCCTTTTGAAATGCTACAGCTTGCTCAGGAGAGGGGTAGTTTTCACACACAGTCAGGATCACAACCACACCACTGCTCCTCCCCAGATGAGGAAGTACCAGATCCCCCAAAGCAGAAGTGTTCACCCTCTCACCAGCCAGTCCAGCACATTTCTGCCTGCTGGGCTGAACTTTTAGGTACAAGATTTGCGTGAACGACTAGTAAGTCTTCAGCCTGACACTGCAATCTGTACAAAAAGCCTCCATCCAAGATGGTCACTGCTGCTCCCAGCCCAGGACGGCCACAAACAACACCCATGGCGCACAGGACCAAACCATGGCTTCCTGCTGAGGCCGGCCAGCCCAGCGTGCTGCTGCTGGGCTCCAGTCCGGCGGCGACTGGCTTGGTGTCAGGGCTGTCACACCGCTCGCTGGATCTGCCTGGACCCAGGGCACACAGGACTTCCCGTGCCCGGCCTGTCACCCCCGCACAGGCAGGAGCAGATCCGCCTCGGCCCCTCCTGACCCCGGCGGCCCCGCAGTCCCTGGGCCCTGGAGGAAGCAGAGCTGCCTCCGGCCGCCCTTGGGCTCTCCCCGCGGCCCCACAGACCAGCCGGCGCCGAGGGAGGCGGCCGGGAAGGCGCGGGCAGCGCTGAGCATCCTCTGTGGGGCTGCGCCTTCCCGCCCGGGATGGGGGACAGCGGGGCGGGGGCTGCCCCGGCTCCTTCCCGGCTCCTCTCCGCCCC